TTGCCTCCTTCAAGAGTTGATTTCAGGGCTGAAGTGATACCAAGGTGGAGCATGGAAGATCATGAGATGCCTCCTCCTTGGCTAAGCATTTAAATTTACATACTACAATATTCAGTTCACAAATATATTTTTGTAATCAAATATCATATAAGACTATAAAGTTACATTTCATTTCTGCTTTTTCTTCCGTTAGCTTAACTGCTCTTCCTCTTGAGCTAAGTATTCATTAAGTTCGTTGTCGTATAGAAATATTTGTTAAATTTTGGAAGATATATGTATTGTAAAATATATTCATTAAGTTCCGTTAGCTTAATTGCTAATTCGTTCAATCTATCTTGAGTCATCGTGCTTCGAAGATAAGATTTCAAGAGCTTCAATTTTAAAAAACTTCTTTCCGCGGAAGCAACCATAACGGGATTTATAATGTTACTATAGTAATTCAATATTTTTAATAATAAATAATTAATTTTAACAAATTTAAATCGATAAAACTGATTATGGGCCAATTTAATTTAAAACTAAAAAAACATTTAAGTCTAATTTGACTTACACTAAAAACCAGAAAAGGCAGCAACAGAATATGAGACAATTGTTTAGCAAAAAGAAATTTAGAAAGCCCACAAATAAATTCAAGTGGTAGCATTGGACCCGTTCAGGTGTATTTATTGAAGTAATGATAACTTGTCAACCGAAGGAACAATAATTTCATTGTCTCATGAAACTTATTGGGACTTCTAAACGTCAGCCCATGCATCAATGAAATAATTATTGAATACACATTGATTTGCGAGTCATTATCAAAGACTTTCAAGACCATTACATGTTCAAAGCTCCTGGCTTCTATCCACCTCCATGTGGCAATGCACGAACCATATGTAACACTCTCAACCCGTATCCGACTCGGATTAGAATTCTATGTGTCACATTGACTTGTCAAAACATTTTCCTTTACAGGTGGATAAAAATCCAACTCACTATTCGATAAAATGAATATTTTATCATTAATTGGCATAAATGTGTTTTACAAAACATATCAGAGTTTATACTATTCAAATCTTTATACTACATGCCAAATACATTCAATAAAACAAAATGCATATATTTAATATATTTCTGATCCGATATTCGTAAGGAAGATGCTGACCTGTCTTGCTCCTCTTAGTTTCTCTTCTCGCTTCTATAACCTACGTGTGAAACAATCACACGCTAAGTGTATGACTTAGTGAGGCTTATAAAACATATAATATAAACTAAACTTCTAACAATGCATATGAATAATTAATGCTATTATAACATACATCTTCATTTACACTTCATAAAATGAATACATACATACACAAACCTTATAATATCACATATAAGTTTTACTATTTCATATTCTTATAATCATTTACTTTACACTGCTTAACTTATATCACATTCTACTATCTTCATTTAAGTCGTTTACTTACCCTATTCTTAATCCTGTAATTTTGATCGCAATCCTACATATCTTATCTCTCATTTCTATATGTTTTTATTTAACATATTCTAATATCCTAATTTCTTATATTCTCTTAATTCATTCCTCACCAAATATTCATTTAATAAACATACATTTGCATAACTTATTGTTATTTGATTCCTCTGATATTCTCATATGATTTCTTAGATTCTTATACTAAATTTCATATCCCTAACTATTTTAACAAGGTTAGTTCACAGTTCTATTTTAAACGTATATATCTTCCTGCACTACTTATCTAATATCTTTTTATACTTATCTATATACCTTTTCCTTAATTAATATACTATCTGCATGGTCTCATTTTTTCAAATGTTCAATCACATATGATAATAATGTTAAGTTTATGTTGGCCCATGTACATCTTGGAGAACTAAAGATATGTGAGTTCATTGAGGTTGTGCATTGATGTTGTCACCACAGCTCGAATAAATTCCCACTAGGGGCACTGTATATTTTTCCCGAATGACCACTATGTCCTGAAGGACCACTTATTTGTCCCGAAGGACCACTCATTAAGAACCATACACATAATACAATGGACCAGATAAGTGTACCGAAGTACCACATATATGTTCCACAAAATTACATATATGTCCCGAAGGACCACGTAGAACCCTCGACTCTTGGCACGTCAACTATACCTCTAGCTCTCATGACACGTAACATGAGCATCATTATTATGTTTACCATATATTCACATAGCCATATCATATAAACATATGTTCTTATCATATCACCCATACTTTTATAAATCATATTCACATGGCTTATCTTATATACATATGTTCACATACTTTAGCTTACTTCACCTTCCATATATCCATACCATTCATTGTCACATAATTGATATCTTAATCACATAACAATAACATACATTCACACATATCATACCACATATACAATAATATATCACAATTATGCTCATATCAATAACATGCTTATATGTATGTTAATATAGGAAATAGACTTGTCACAAGTCTTATTTCCATTCATCATAATATATCAACTAATACGCACTCACCTTAGCCTTGCTTGCTTTGACTCGATCCTAATATTTGGACTGTTCTGGAACAAGATTACGTTCTATATCTATATAGTAATACATTGATAAATATCAGTATACTAATTAATATATTCTAATCTATCACTTCTTAGACTAAAAGAAATGTTACTTTCATTTCTTAAATAATGTAGGTATCGATGCACTCTACAGTGTATCGATGCATCCTTTAACGAGTGCATCGATGCACTACTTATGCATCAGTACACAAATTGCATTTGATGTTTTCATCTTAAGGGGGTACATCGATGCACTTCTTATGCATCGATGCACTAATTGCATTCGATGTTCATTTATTTGAGAGTGCATCGATACATATTGAAGATGCATCAATGCACACAACCCAGAAATTCCATTTTAAGCACGAAATTCACTCTCTTTTCATCTCAACTCCTCATCTTTCACCTCCTTTAATATTCCTAACTTTCATACACACACTTAAACTCATTTATACTCAACAATCACTTCTTTAAACTCAACATCCTATCCTTTATATGGCATTCAAGAATTACACTCAATTTCTAACATGTTCTAAATTTAATTGTAATACTTCATATTCCTTAATTTAACCATCGACAAGTCAAATTCATCTTCAAACTACATTAACTCTTTCTATTTCAAATATTCACTTAAAAACTATTTTTTCTTAATTTCTCATAACTTGTTAATTTTTGAGTTTTAAGCCACCTAAAACTTTCCTTAATCTTTCTTAACATCCCAAGAATCAAAACAAGCTTTAAAACAAAAGAATTAACCAACTGAAGACCCACTTACCTTATACAAGACTCCACAGTGGAGAAGAGAAAGAAGAAGACTGAAGAAGGCTATGGAGAAATTATCTCCTTTCCCACGTGCTTATTACCCTTTATAAAGGGAAAATAAAATCTTCTCTGAAAAATGACCATAATACCCTTATTACTTTCAAACTTTGTTATTAAATCCAACATCAACACTTTTCATTTAAATCCTTGAACTTTCCATCTTTTCTGAAATTGATCACTAAATTTACCAAAATTCTATTTTGGTCATTGACCCGACTTTTGGGATGTTACAAATCTCCCCTATTTTAAAGAAAATTTATCCTCGAATTTTCACTGTACACACAATAAGAACACATCTTCTAATGTTCTACTTAATCTTTCATTCCTTTCGTTATTCAACTACCTTTTTCATTTATACATCCTTATCATGTCACTTATCATATAACCAATAATATCAGTTCTTAACACTCAAAATCATTAATTAATCAAATTTCTTATCAATATTTAAGTGTCTTGCAGTAATAACCAACTTCCTTAATACATATAAATTATTCTTTATTTCTCTGACTAAATCTGCTTAACCAAGAAACATAACCTTTATCACATCTGATTCTTTAAACTTTATCCTTTCATTTCCTTATTCCATGCTCTTTTCCTATCACTTATGCTCATATCTTATTACTGATCTTTATCACCTCTTCATAACTTTGATAATTAACATTTTTTGCACAAATCTTATTCTTTGTAAAGTCCTTGTTCGCATCACAATACACATATCCTTAACTTCCTTCAAACATATTAATCCTTATCTCTTTCACTACATAACATTTATATAATCAAATACATAACCATTTACAAATTTACACCATACTCTGTTATCTTACTCTAACATCATCTTTAATCTTTTAACTACATTCTTCATCACTCAACCTTATCAGTCCGCAACAGTTCTTCCAATTATATACACTCTTTCTGGTCGAAATTAGATCAGTATTAATGTATTTGATTCATTCTTAACTCCTTATTTAATCTTCCAGTACCAGACTCTACTATTCAAACGTATTTGTCTTTTATCAAATTTGGTCCTTTGATATGGAATACACTAATTCAAACCGAGTCTATAATTGAAAATCATAATCTCTCTAGATCTTTAACACAATTCATCACTTCTTAGAAAGAACAATTTTAACACCAATAATATTCTTTTAGTCTAGGCACAAGCCCTCCATACTTCACTTACATACATCATTTTCCTTTGAATAACTTAACAACAATTTCTTCGACTTATCAAACTATATTCATATCCCTACACGTTACGATTTCTCTATTTCCCAACTCAAGCAGTCTAACTTTCTCTGTCTTATAAACTGATTGCTGATATCTAATATAATTTACCCTAAATTAAATCCTATATGGCTATATCTATATGAAGAATAAATATGTATCACTCGGATCTAAAGCAAGTGTCAAATACGGATATGCTGAGTTTTTCTATTTTGTTCTGAAGTTCTTTGGATATATTCAAATGATCGTACATCTATACCCATACTCGAATATATAACGAACATAGATGTCGAACACGAATACTTTGAAAAAACAAGCCCGGGCAACACACGCAGAAATAGCAACAAAGCGAGTTTTTTTTTTGAGAATGTGGTAGAAAATAATGTACAACGGACAAAAAGAATCAAGTCTTCATTAATGGTGAAATAGTTTTCCACTAGCAACATGATAATGTATGTTTCATTACAGATTCATAGTTGAAAACGAGAGGATAAATGAGAAACAAGATAACATCACCGTTTTACTTCTTCTTCCCTGCTTTGCCCTCCTTTCGTCTAACGACCTCGTCCGCGTATTTCACACCCTTTCCTTTATATGGTTCCGGGGGTCTCCATTTTCTAACGGATGCAGCGAATTGACCGATGTTGCTCTTGTCGTACCCGCTTACGATGACTCGCGTGTTTTCTTCCACCTTCACTTTAAGGTCGTCGGGGATTGCCATCCTGACCGGATGGGAAAAGCCGAGATTCAACACTAAGTCTTTTCCTTCAACTGTTGCACGATATCCAACACCGATTAGTTGAAGTCTCTTCTCAAAACCCTTTGATACTCCCACCACCATGTTGTCAGTAAGAGTCCTGGCAATTTCGTTTAGGTAGAATCACGATTGAAGCATCATTAATTAATAAATTAACGATTACAAGACTTTCCAAGTCCAACTTCCATAATATAACTAGTTGACATACAAATTTGAAGGCGGAAGGACGAGGAAGACAACAAGTAAACCTAAATTTCCACCTTCTTGATAACCGATTTACAGAGAGGGTCATGTGTATCAAAGGGGACCTTGTATGCATCCATGTATAGGATCTAAATCGTTTTAGACAGTAGATATGCACGAAATGTCGTTAAAGAACCACCACAGGCATAGGAGGATCATATGTCACAAGCAGCAAGTGGAATTTATGCAAATGAGCATTCTAGCAAGCCCGAAATCAATTGTACTTGTTATAAAGTAAAATAAATGACAATGAACAGATTATAAGATCCAAAAGGCATAACCAAATACCATTTTTATCAGAAGATAAATAGATAATATCAAATTATTGATCATAGATTGCTAACTCTAGATGTGGAAAACTTTCAAACTTGATCTTGATTCCCAGAGTCAATATAGCCCCTATGTAAAACCCGTAAAAGGGTACTAAGAGAAGAACTATGAAGAACAAAACAATGAATACATGATTATCAAATGAAGAACAATTAAGAAAGCAACTTTAAGATAAAGTTAGAACAAATAAACAAGCAGGAACAATTACCTGAAAAGTCCATGCATTTGGTTGGCTCTCCTTGTCTCCACTGACTTTCGGACCCTTAGGGCCCCGGATTCCTCGCGGTCGACCTTTACTTCCCACGGATAGGTCAATGCCATTTCCCCCAAAGGACCCTTCACTTTCAAGTCCTGGCCCTCCAACGTAATCGTCACATTGGCCGGAATCGGTATTGGCTGCTTCCCTATTCTCGATTCCTTACACTCAACAGCTTTCCTCACTACAGAAACTCGAGATATCGGAACGTTTGGAACACAGAACCCATTCTTCTCTCCCAAAAACGCAGACCTCAAATTGCTGAAACACAAGAAGAAAGTAATCCCATCAAATTACAAAGAAATTACAATCTATGCGTAATTATAACTCAAAAGAAAGCCTAGAAGCTGAATTCTGCCAAATGCACTAAAAGGAATTCCAAGCATCAGCGTATACAAATTCTAGAGCACCATAGCTGCACAAAATAGTAGCATCCCACACTAAAAATTGAAGTGAATAGAACAAACCCATTTCAAAACACAGCTCCATTAACAATTTAAAAGTCAATATATGTTCTTAAAAATTCAACAAAAACCAACATTAAGACAAAGATAAATTAGCAAAAAATATGGACAACCAATTGAGTCTAAATACCCATAAAAAAGAATATTGTTTGGGGAGCTAACCTGGTTTGTAAAGATAATATTGAAGAAGCCATTTCTCCGAGAGCCTTCTTATCATCAAGCTTTGGTCTTTACTGATGAAGCGAACAAAGGGTCCTATCCAAAACCATGGTTATTAAGGATGAGAGGTTATGGGTTTTGTGAAATGACACTGTTGCCCTTGTTGGAAAGATTGAATTTCTGTGGTGCCCTGCCTTGTGAGTTACTGGAATTCTGGTATTTTGTTCAGAAGAGATTTAAGTTGTTTAGGTTTAAATATGCTAGGATTCTTATACTATATCAAAATTTAAAATTTAGTCCCTCTATTATGTTTTTGTGAAATTAAACCTTCGTACTATTTTTTATAAAAAAAAATACTAGTCTCTAAGAATAAAAATATTTTTTATCACTAACATTATTCAATAAATTCTATAATACTTTATATACTAGAACATCACTTAAATAATATATTATTAAAGTATATATATATATATTTTATTGTGGATTACTAATGTCCACTTGAAGTTTAAAGCAAATGAAAGTTACAAATCGTAAAGTTCCTTCTTTGAACACGCCACATAAAGATGCTCCTTTTATTGATTAGGTTAGACAGTATCATTTTTCTCTTATATATGGAATTGGATTCCCCGTCAAAATCAACTCATTTTTCATATATGTAAAATAAAATTTACTATTACAATCAGATTAATTTATTTTACTAATATTTTTAGTGCCTAAACAATATCACGTATAAAGTTTTAGTGTCTTAAGAAATTTTTACTAAAAGTAAGTGCCTAATCTTTTCTCAGTTATATTTTTAATTGTCTACCGTTATATTTTTAATTTTTTTTAATTATAGTCGATCAATAAATCGAATATCAGTAATTAATTCAAAAAAAATATTATTTTAAAAAATTAATTTATTTATAAAAAAATCTCAAACTTCTAATGAAATTATAAAAAACCCTAAAAAGTTAATTTATCTCATTTCAACCTCGTTATCAACGATTGTTGACCATTTTCAGTCACCATCGTTGCTGAACACTTAGGTTTTAATCGAAAATGAACGGTGGTTCGAATGTTGGGGTGGTGTGGCTTATGGACATTGTGATTAGTCGGAATCGACAAAAAACAATGACGGTGGCTTAAATCCAATGAACATTTGAACACTTCTCTACAACAAATGGTGAAACTTTACGACGAACGGTCAACAGGAGTTTGATCAGGGGTCGATGCCAATGTCGATAAAAGTGACAATGATGATCACGTTGGGCTGTAGCTGTGGGTTTTTTTAATAAAAAAATTATTTTTTAATTTATAAATAAATTTTTAAAATTATCATAACATGACACATGTTATTTAACGATTAAACTTAACGTTCGTTACGATACATGCACCTAAAAATCTCCGATAAAAACGTCAAACACCTATTTTTAATAAAAATTCCTTTAAACACTAAAATATTTTTATACAGAATTTAATCATTTATTTTTGTATTAAACCTATTTTTTTAATAAAAGATTAAGGGTGTGTTTGGTTCACAGAATGTAAGATTACCAGTGGGAATAAAAGATTACCAGTGAATAGGATTACTGGGAATGTTGTATTTTGTGTTTGGTTGGTTTAGTAGGAATGTAAGTTTACTATGTTGGGTTAAAGGGATAAAAGATTATTAGAATGTATATTTGACCAAATTGTCCTTATTATATATTTGTTTTTTAACAAGTTGAAAAATATTTATATATTTTCTTTAAAAAATTTAAATTCATAAAATTTATATACTTTTTTTACATAATTGAAAATATAAAAAGATTTAATGAAAGGGTAAAATTTTATTTTAACCCCTGAACTTCATATAAAATTTTAATTATAGATTTTTTTGTAAATCTAAAATAGTTTAATAAATTTATAATTTAACCTTCGTAGAATTTTTATTATTCAATGACAGAATAAGGATTTTTTAAAAGAAAAAAAAAATTAAGGTATTGTAGTCCAAAACGTCAGTAATCCAACAATACCTAAGAAAAGGGAGGTAATAACATTCTCGGTAATATACCCCAAAAAATTCACCATTGGTAATGTAAGATTACCCGGAATGATATTCTCGACCAACCAAATGAGGAAATGTGAATTCTATTCTCATAAAAATCTCATATTCTCCTAACCAAACACACCCGTTAATAGTATTCCACATAATTTACCTTGAATTTATCCTCTTTCAATTATTCAAAGTGAATGTCTAGTCATCAATTTGGTTCCATTGAAAAAGACCAAACGCCTCTAAAAAGCTTCAACACTAAGCGCCTTATTGTACTCTCTACTATCTGGTCTTCCAAGCAGTCTCTCACCCTTTGTTTTAGTCATGATTTCCACGATTTCCAAAACTCCAAAAATCACATTTTTCTAATTTTCAGTCCCCCCCCCCAAATTACTGCTATTTCTTTGCAGCCATTGGATTTTATCTGTTCTTAATTTCTTATAGTTGTTGCACACTGTGGTAGTAGCTTCAATGCCCTTACTGCACTCCAAAGTTCTCTCTTTTTCTTTTAAATTATTATTCAACTGTGAATTTTATTTTGCAAGTTGAGTTTTCTGAGTGATTTTATAATCAGGGTATTGAAAAAAAAAGTCGTGCTTGACTCATCATCATCAAGATTCTTTAAACCCATGAACCCTTGGACTGTGCAGATTAAGGGCAAAAAAAGGGAGCTCATTTTTCTTCTTTGAAGTTGTTGCCTTTTGATAGCTTTGCAACAATGAAACATCTTGGGTTTCTGTCGTTGTTGATGATATGGGTGGTTTCTCAGAGTTGTCTTGTCGAATGTAAGAAGCCTGTTTCTGTAAATATTGGTGTTATTTTCACTTTTGATTCAGTTATCGGTAGAGCTGCAAGGCCAGCAATGGAAGCTGCAGTTTCTGATATCAATGAAACTCCCACGTTTCTTAATGGAACTCGGCTTAATTTGATCATGGCTGATGCTAATTGCAATGCCTTCTTGGGTACTGTTGAAGGTAATTGAATCCTGTTCTTTTAATTCTTCCTTTTTGGTGCTAATTAGTAATTAATCTGATATAATTCATAGGTTTGAACTGTTGTTTTGGGTTATTGAGTCTTTGTTTTTTTATGTCAGCTTATCAAGTAATTGAACAAGAGGTTGTGGCTTTTATTGGTCCACAATCATCTTCGATTGCTCATATGATTTCCTCAATCGCCAATGGTCTTCAAGTTCCACTCGTTTCGTATGCGGCCACCGATCCGAGTCTCTCGGCTAAGCAATTCCCGTTCTTTGTCCGAACCGTGCAAAGCGATTCGAACCAAATGAATGTTATGGCTTCTTTAGTTGATTTCTATGGGTGGAAAGAGGTCATTGGTATCTATGTGGATGATGATTATGGGAGGAATGGGATATCTGCGCTGAACGATGAACTAGATAAGAGAATGGCGAAAGCTTTCTATAAGTTGCCTTTGCCTTTGAATTTTACGCAAAGTGACATCGTAGAGTTGCTCAAAGAATCTAAATTGTTAGGTCCTCGTGTGTATGTCGTTCATGTTAATCCTGACCCGCAGTTAAGAATTTTTTCCACTGCCAAAATACTTAAGATGATGACCAGTGACTATGTATGGTTCGCAACGGATTGGCTTTCTACTACCATAGATTCGTTTGCTCCTGTGAATAGGACGGTTCTTCGTGTGCTTCAAGGGGTAGTTGGACTTCGCCAACATATTCCTGAGTCCAACCAGAAGAAGGATTTCACGGCTAGATGGAGAAAGATGCAACAGAAAGGGTTGTTAAGATCTGAGTTGAACACCTATGGCCTCTGTGCTTATGACACGGTTTGGACAGTTGCACACGCGATCGACAAGTACATAAATGATGGCAACAATTTCACATTTTCATCAAGTGGCAAGTTAAACGATACAAAAACTTCTGAAATGCATTTAGACAAGCTTAAAGTTTTTGATGGTGGTGCTATACTGCTTGAGCATATAATGAACACAAGCTTCTCTGGTTTAACTGGTCAAGTTCATTTTGGTTTGGATCGGAACATTATAACTTCTGGTTATGATGTCATTAATATTGACAAGATGGTTGTTCATACGGTTGGTTATTGGTCTGATATTTTCGGTTTCTCGGTTTCTCCTCCGGAAACCCTCCGAGGGACAAAAAAAAGCCATTCTGTATTAGACCAGAAGCTTGGCAGTGTTACTTGGCCCGGTGGAAAGACCCAAAGGCCTCGTGGCTGGGTGATTGCAGATGATGAACGCCCGTTGAGAGTTGGAGTGCCCCATAGAGCCAGTTTTGTTGATTTTGTTACAGAACTGAATGGTACGCATAAAATCGCTGGATACTGTATCGATGTGTTCACTGAAGCACTGAAATTCATCCCCTATAATATTCCTTACAAATTTGAGCTTTTTGGGGATGGTCGATCCAATCCAAACTATAATCGTCTCGTAAAGATGATTGCAGATGATGTAAGTATGACCTTTACATTACTCCGCACCAAAACTATCTCATAAATCCGTAGAAGCAAAAACATTCCTTTTTTTACATATATTGCATTTGATAATGTTACTTGCATGGTTGAACCTTGGTTCAATAAGTGATAAACAGTGTGTTGCAGAACGAATCTTAGCCTTGAATTGTGAGGAGGCATGTTTTTTTTATTGATAGAGCTTATTCCTCGTAATCATTTTGTGAAATTATGGTACCAGGTGTTTGATGCAGCCGTTGGGGACATTGCGATCGTGAAAAACCGGACGGAAATGGTTGATTTTTCTCAGCCTTATATAACAACCGGTCTCGTCATAGTAGCTCCAATCCACAATACAAAATCAAGTGCTTGGGTATTTCTAAAACCATTTACGGCGGACATGTGGTGCATGACTGCAGGTGGCTTTTGTATAATTGCAGTCGTTATTTGGATTCTTGAGCATCGAGTCAATGATGCTTTTCGTGGTCCTCCTAGGAGGCAACTCATGACAATGTTTATGTAAGTTATTGCAATGTTTGAAAGGTTTTCTAGCTAATATCTACCGTCTCTTTTGGCCCTCAACAAGGCCGTGCATTCCTACCTCTTATAATATTCGTCCAATCGTTTACCGTTGCAGGTTCAGCTTCTCGACGCTGTTTAAGACAAACCGTAAGTGAACTTTGGATCCCGAACTTATAATATTCGAGATTTCTTTTCACCGAGTTTAAACTTTACCCGATAGCAGATTGATGTAAGCATTAGGCTACTTTTGATTTCCACAATTACTGATTTTTCACACTGAAGTCCGAATATGCGGCCACTTCAATTCTTATGAAATATACAAACAATTGCTGTTTCTATTTTTATCACTTTATCGCCTCAAACTACTGAAATTTTAGGATCCGAGTTGATGTTAAATGTGACGATATTCATTTTAACAATGCAGAGGAAGTAACGGTGAGCACACTTGGGCGATTGGTAATGGTGGTATGGCTTTTCCTATTGATGGTGATAACATCTAGTTATACAGCAAACTTGACTTCGATCCTTACGGTTCAGCAACTTTTGTCTCCTATCACTGGAATTGACAGCTTGATTGCTAACCATTGGCCGATCGGTTACCAGGTCGGTTCATTTGCATATGGTTATCTATCTGAGACCCTTAACATCCATAAGTCACGGCTTGTTAAACTACACTCCCCGGAAGAGTATGAAACTGCTTTACGACTGGGGCCGGATAACGGAGGGGTGGCAGCTATAGTTGATGAGCTTCCTTACGTGGAATTATTTCTGTCGAAGCGAACGGATTTCGGGATTATTGGTCAACCATTTACAAAGAGTGGATGGGGATTTGTAAGTACTTTAACTCTACATACATAAAAATGCATTCATACACACATAGTTTGACTGCCGGCATTTCTGATCGAATATTAACCTCATTGTATCAGGCTTTCCAGAGAGATTCTGCGCTTGCCGTTGACATGTCGACAGCAATCTTGAAACTTTCCGAAAGCGGAAAGCTTGAGGAAATCCATGCTCGGTGGTTCTGTAAGATGGGATGTCCGGGCGAGAGGAGAGGAAAATCCGAACCGAACCAACTCCACTTGGTCAGCTTCTGGGGCTTATATCTTTTATGTGGTGCAATCACTCTCGCGGCACTTCTAATCTATATTCTAAGAATGGTTCACCAATACGCCCGCTACAGGCGGAGGCAAATGAAACTCGGTCGCCCTTCGTCCTCGGTTCAAACTACCACTCGTTTCTCTCAGGTCATTTTTAACTTTTTCGACTTTATCGACGAGAAAGAGGAAGCAATCAAGAAAATGTTTATGCAGTGTGAGATTAATCCAGTTCCGGAAACACCAACCAGCTCAACTGCATGAAATGATTTGTCTTGTTAGAATATTGGGAGGAAATATTAACTTCTAGTGCTTAACCTAGAACTCTGTTTATGTATATGGATCTACTCATACAACATGTCTAGGATTTATGATGCTTGTAAATATCACTTTTATTGATATATTGGCAAAGAAACCTGCCAAGATTTCTTATAAGGCCGTGTTCGGCCCGAAGATCTCTTAAGTAAGATCAATGACTGGCTAATTAAGGTGAACCCGATGGAGGCACAAGTTTCTGTAGTTAATGTTAATCCCAACACTGGTTTGAACGTCTTCTCCGTTGCTAGGACTCTGACTATGATTGGCTTCCATCATAGCTAGACTCGATGGAAACAGTTTTTCCACGATGGATCTTTCACAGGGGGTGGTTGTGCTCCGTTGTTACAACCCGGATACTAATCTCAAAAGGAGTTTTATGTCCAAGCGAAACAGTTGGGTCCGTAGGTTTCAATTCTTATGCACTTTATGCTTATGATTCAGTTTGGTTGACTGCACATGCCCTCGAAGTTTTCCAGAGACTTCACGAATGGCAGCATACTAAAGTTGTCATCTCTTCACGTGTTTACCAGAGACCGATGACTTCTCCAAACACTTATACAGAGATGACTTCTCCAAACACTTATACGGATGAAACTTCGCCCAACCCAGTTGGTTATAAAGAGTTCATGTCGAAAGACAATAGTCCCCGAGCTATAACGATCTTGTTTACCAGGTTCGGAAGTACAGTATCTGATCTCTGTTCTCTACTCGATATTAGGTACCGATAATTATATTGATTTACTCCTTGCACCGTTGAAATCGACTGAAAATCGCTTTGTTTATCGAAAACTTGGTCTTTGCAGTGTCAATCAATTTGTAATCTTATAATGTATGTTTCAAAAGTTCGATAACAAAAGTGAAAACGTATGTTGAACCTTTTTTTTCCCAACTAACGAATCTAATCGAATTAACCCAACTAGACGACAATTTCTAGGATTTCGTGAATGAAAATTTTAAGATATTTTTAAAAAATATCATCTAATTTGAATATCTGAATTACACTAAAAATCAGTGAATCACTATGTTATTTAATAATCACCGGTAACTATACATAAATGAAAAATATAATAATGAACCAAAAATGTTTGGAAAACATTGGTCAATTCATTAGAGCCGAGCATGTTTCCACGTCTGTTTCGTTGAATTTAATATTCGTTTGGTTAAATAAAAAAATGAAGAATTAATGTTTTGGGTAATTTACAAACACATGTCACTCAATTATAAATTAGTAGATTGTTATGATACATATCACTCTGCTACTAAGTGTACAATAAATATTAACTTTTTTAATTATAATTGAGTGGCAAGATTATAATAATCAATAAATTAAGTGTCTGATAATTAAAATTTAGCATCTGTTTTATTGTTATTGATAGAATGATTCGCTTGTAAAAACTATTAATTGAATGATTATTTTTTTGATGAATCATTTATAATTTCATTAATAATTGAATAGTATGCTGTGTAATTTACATTATTTTCAGAGACCATTTTATATTAAAAATAATTAAAATATCCCCGACAGTTATTACCTACCAAAAATATTTTGTCACCGACCGACCACCTAGTTTTGGTCAATTAAAAAGGGAGAATGACGTGTAAGATGCTTATTCTACAAATCAAATTCCATGCCAGTCTAAATTCTTTCATAAAATATACAAATATTAATATAAAATAAAATACGAACTTTTAAATCTATTTGAACTCAACTTCCATCATCATAGTTAAAATAAAATTCAAATTTTATTATCAATACGTCTTTCACACATAAATTATTTTGAATTTAATTAATTTTATTTTTGGTATGTTTAAAATTTAAAATGCTAGTCATGACTCAAATTAACACAAAGATAATATAACTAAATTATATAATTTAAAATTATAATTAATGTATAATATAAAAATTAATGATAGAATTTAATTTTATATTTTACAATTACTGTATGGATCAAGACCTTCATTATAAAATATTAAAAGATAAAGATTAAATTCACAATTTATATATAGTATAAATATTAAAAAATAATATCTTTTTTTATATTTTTTAAAAATTATAATCCTTTTAACTATTAATAAATATAAATTAACATACAGTATATCAACATCAATTATTATAAATATCGAACTATATAATTAATCTGATAATTAGTATAACTTAAACCATAATTAACTAAAAAATAGTATACGACTTGTAACCAAAAACAGAATAGTATACGACTTATCTAGTGTGAAATTCAAACCAAAATCATTAACTTTATATAAAATAATATTATATATTACATACGTAAAGCATTTGATTTGATTTGATTCAATTATTAGGTTTAGTAAGTGTTCTACGTGTAAGTTTTGTAGTTTCTGCTAGACATGGACCGTTGCTCAATATATCTTCACCACAATACAAATATAATGTGTTTAGTTAGTAATTTTTTTATTTACTCGTTAAATTTTTAATTTATTCTTATTTTTGGTGTTTAGGGTCGGTTTCAAGTTTTCAGATGTGTCTATATAAATCAATTGTTGTTGTGATGTGAAAGGCAAGCGGAAAGCAGAAACCAGCTGGCTCGTTGGACTTGCGAACAAAACCGATCGTCCACAACCCGTTCAATCGTCCCGTTCAAGTAGTTCATTCGTCGTAATACGTAACTAAAAGCTCACGTCCCAAAAATTTCGAACCTCTTTTCTTTCTCCAAACTCTTCTCCAGGCTTCTTATTGTTTCTCTTTCTTTTCCACACCCAAAATCATCGTAATTCTCGTTGTTTTAGGCGAGAAAGACCGTCAGATTATGACCCAATTCTGCCCCAACTTGGTTAAAATCAACCTCCGTCGTAGGTTCCAGCCTCGCGTTTTGATTCTCCGACGCTGCATTCGTGGCTTTTGGGACCGATTCCTCATCTCCTCCCTACCAAAACCTATGAAGCATCGGTATCGAATTATAACCGACACCCCCTCCGCCCCTTCGCATCCTCCGCCGCATTCCGCTTCATCGAGAGGCGGAGCGGCGCCTGTTTGTCATCACGGCCACCATGATCGAAAGGACTCGGATTTGGTTCAGTTGAAGATCAGTCTCCTGGGTGATGCTCAAACCGGGAAAACTAGTTTTCTGGTTATCCTCGTTAGCTTAATCAAATTCAAATCCCTTCTCTCTCTCTTTCCCCCAATATTTATTTAAATATACATATTTATCCTTTTTTTTGAAGATGAAATACATTGGAGATGAAAACGAGTTTGAACAAGACAATCAAGAGAAAGGGTTGAATTTGATGGATAAAACATTTTTTGTAAGTGGAGCAAGAATCTATTACTGCATCTGGGAAGTTGATGGTAACCCCATTTTTCTCTTTAATTTCCGTTTTGATTTTGCTTATATTTAATCAACAATCTGTTTATCTACTTATTTTTTCAATTGAAAAATGCAGGTGTTGATAAATCTCGGGATCATATTCCTCTGGCCTGCAAAGACTCTGTTGCAATTCTTTTCATGTTTGATCTCACAAGCAGGTGCACTTTAAACAAGTATGAAACTCGTAATTATCCACTCCAATATCTCCATTTTAATCACAAATGAAAACAATTGTTGTAATTTTCTTTTCTTAATGTCTGCCCTTGGTACTTCAAAATCTGAGTTAATGTTTTTAAATCAAAAGGGGTTTGTCTTCTTTGGTTGCAGCATTGTAAACTGGTATCAAGAAGCCAGGAAATGGAATCAGGTATTCACTTTCTTAAATATTTGATTAAACGTTGTTGAAATGTATATGTTTATATATGTATTATTGTGAGGCTGTTGTGTATCGGTAAGTATTGTGCTTTTCGGAAGGTTTTGTCACTCTAAGATTGTTTTTACACTCTAAGATTGTTTTTACGGACAATTTTTCACTAGATCATATGGTATCCGAGTTGCCAAAAGGACTCCTATAAAAATAGAAGATCTTGAGTTTGAATCTGGGCCGACACACCTTAGAGTGACAAGATCTTAAGAATGCTTACAAAGAGGACAATACCGATTTGTACATGGTCAGTGATACTGACCGCAACACGGAGCTTCTCATCAGCAAATGTGTATATACACGTGTGTGTGTGTGTGTTTAGAAAATGTCTCATTAGTATGAAAACTTTGATTGTGCAGACAGCTATACCAATTTTAATAGGAACCAAATTCGATGATTTCATTGAGCTTCCCCTGGATTTGCAGTGGACAATCGCTAGTCAGGTAAAGTTTACAGTTCCAGTTGAAGCTTTCAATCATATCCTGCTTGTCTAAGAAAGCATATTCCACTTGATGTGAGAATTAAAAACACCCTTTTTGAGAATTCACATACGATTACCAAATCAATGTTTTAGAATTAGAAATGAAGAACAAATGGCCAATCGTGTCCTAGCTTGGTTGACACCGTTGCTTTTGCAGTAACCTGAGTTTATAAGTTTGTGTGTTTATGCACGTATTATCTTCTAATTAGTTTTAGGAAAATGAACAAAAGCGACAAAAGAACCCTTTTTGTCGTATCCTTGTTATCGAACATTTGGAGTATCATACGTTATACTATACTAGTATTTGTATGTGTCTCTCAATTCTCGCTGTAGTTGGACTCTGTTTAGTACCCTGGATTGTTGTAATTATTGCAAGGCACAATAAAGTTCATTATTGTCTGTAAGAGGATTGACCCATTGCACGTTTCAATTTTGGTTCTTATTTATATGGAAATGGCAGGCAAGGGCGTATGCGAAGGCCATAAATGCGACCCTGTTCTTTTCAAGTGCTACATACAACATCAATGTGAGCAAGATTTTCAAGTTCATCACAGCAAAACTCTTTGACCTGCCTTGGACGGTCGAACGCAACCTTAATATCGGAGAGCCCATCATTGATTTCTAGAAAGTTTCATGTTGTCTGTAACGTAGATAATATAGACAATGTTTCCAAAGGGGTTGATCCTCAGCCAACCGGTCACCAGACTATGTTTTTTTCTTCATTGGTCTTGTCTGGTGATGTTCGAGTTGTTTCAATGTAAGGAAAGCCCATGTTTAAGCAATGAATAGCACATTTTAGTTGTTCAAAGATTATATCCTACATGAAAAATTATGATAATTTTTTTATTAAGTTTTTTTCCGTCAAATT